CAGAGTGCTATGTCTATGGCTCGCGCTCATATATTGTGTGAAAGTTTATAGGTTTGAGATTACTAAAGTATGAAAGAATTGCTTGGCTTGTCATCGGGGTTGTGCATGATGAGAGCATTCTTGTGTGACGAAAATGGAGCATGACTAAACTATATGATTTTGTAGGGATGAACTTTCTTTGGCCATGTTATTTTGAGAAGACATAATTGCTTTGTTAGTATGCTCGAAGTATTATTATTTTTATGTCAATATGAACTTTTGTCTTGAATCTTTTGGATCTGAATATTCATACCACAATTAAGAAGAATTACATTAAAATTATCCCAAGTAGCACTCCACATCAAAAATTCTGTTTTTATCATTTACCTACTCGAGGACGAGCAGGAATTAAGCTTGGGGATGCTTGATACGTCTCCAACTTATCTATAATTTTTGATTGCTCCATGCTATATTATCTACTGTTTTGGACATTATTGGGCTTTATTATGCACTTTTATATTATTTTTGGGACTAACCTATTAACCGGAGGCCCAGCCCAGAATTGTTGTTTTTTGCCTGTTTTAGGGTTTCGAAGAAAAGGAATATCAAACGGAGTCCAAACGGAATGAAACCTTCGGGAACGTGATTTTCTCAACGAACAAGACCCAGGAGACTTGGACCCTACATCAAGACACAAAAGAGGAGGCCAAGAGGTAGGGGCGCGCCTACCCCCTTCCCCCCCTAGGCGCGCCCTCCACCCTCGTGGGCCCCCTGTTGCTCCACCGACGTACTCCTTCCTCCTATATATACTTACGTACCCCCAAACGATCAGATACAGAGCAAAAAACCCTAATTCCACGGCCGCAACTTTCTGTATCCATGAGATCCCATCTTGGGGCCTGTTCCGGAGCTCCGCCGGAGGGGGCATCGATCACGGAGGGCTTCTACATCAACACCATAGCCCGTCCGATGAAGTGTGAGTAGTTCACCTCAGACCTATGGGTCCATAGTTGGTAGCTAGATGGCTTCTTCTCTCTTTTTGGATGTCAATACAATGTTCTCCCCCTCTCTTGTGGAGAACTATTCGATGTAATCTTCTTTTTGCGGTGTGTTTGTTGAGACCGATGAATTGTGGGTTTATGATCAAGTCTATCTATGAACAATATTTGAATCTTCTCTAAATTCTTTTATGTATGATTGGTTATCTTTGCAAGTCTCTTCAAATTCTCATTTTGGTTTGGCCTACTAGATTGATCTTTCTTGCAATGGGAGAAGTGCTTAGCTTTGGGTTCAATCTTGCGGTGTCCTTTCCCAGTGACAGTAGGGGCAGCAAGGCACGTATTGTATTGTTGCCATCGAGGATAACAAGATGGGGTTTTCATCATATTTCATGAGTTTATCCCTCTACATCATGTCATCTTGCTTAAGGCGTTACTCTGTTTTCATTAACTTAATACTCTAGATGCATGCTGGATAGCGGTCGATGAGTGGAGTAATAGTAGTAGATGCAGGCAGAATTCGGTCTACTTGTGTCGGACGTGATGCCTATATACATGATCATACCTAGATATTCTCATAACTATGCTCAATTCTGTCAATTTCTCAACAGTAATTTGTTCACCCACTGTAGAATACTTATGCTCTCGAGAGAAGCCAATCTTCATCATATTAATCTCCTAATACTTAGTTATTTTCTTTGCTTTTATTTTACTTTGCATCTTTATCACAAAAATACCAAAAATATTATCTTATCATATCTATCAGATCTCACTCTCGTAAGTGGCCGTGTAGGGATTGACAGCCCCTTATCGCGTTGGTTGTGAGGATTTATTTGTTTTGTGCAGGTGCGAGGGACTTGCACGTAGCCTCCTACTGGATTGACACCTTGGTTCTCGAAAACTGAGGAAAATACTTACGCTACTTTGCTGCATCATCTCTTCCTCTTCGGAGAAAACCAACACAGTACTCAAGAGGTAGCATACGTTCGGTACTTCATTGGTTTGGATCGTGATTAGATCGTAATGAGTACGACTACATCAACCGCCTAATATATGCTTCCGCTTAGCGGTCTACTAGGGTACGTAGACACACTTTCCCCTCTTGTTTATATGTTTCTCCTAGATAGATCTTTGGTGTTCGTAGGATTTTTTTATTATTTTCATCCTTCGTTCCCCAACACATTTACACTTGCACTGAGACTAAAGTCAGAACTGAGTTACAATACTTTTTCCGATAAAGGGCGCTTTATTACTTAAAAGATTTAAGTATTACACCCGACCTCTGTATAACTAAGATGCACACAGCTAAATCAAAGTCAGTCTCAAAAAGTAAAAGGATGAAATGCAAGTAGTCATGAAAAGACTATATGATGTCTAAACCGTAGGAGGGCCAATCCTAACATCATGCCACCATCCATGCCGGGTAAAAGTATCCCTCGCCGTGTTCTCCAAGCATGTACACACCTCCGTAAACAGGTCTTGATTCTCCACACATTGTAGAGATGACCATAAATGGAGCCTACCAGTACATCTGTAGATAACCTGCATAAGAGAAGTATGTTTATCATTAAACACCTTATCATTTCTACATAGCTAAAGCGACCAAATAACTGCAAGCGCTCCCGTCCTGAGAAGAATTTTAATTTGTGATCTATCACATGTAACCAGTTGGCAAATATATTAGCAACACTACATGGAGGATACAAGCTAGAAGCTACTTGGATGATTGACCATATAAAACGAGGCAATTTGCAATGGAAAAACAAGTGTTTTATTGTTTTGTCATGATGACAAAAAACACATTGTGTAGTTCCATGTCAATTCCTCTTAATAAGGTTTGTAAGAATGACTCCTCGACGAAGATATCATACGAAGATTTTATTCCTCAGTGGTATCTTCATCTTCCAAATCTTCTTATTATTATCAACTGGCGCATCCGACTGGATCAGAGCACTATACATAGAGTCCACCGTGAATTTACCATTCACATGTAGGTTCCATCGAAATTCATCGATCCCTTGTGACAATTGTACCATGAATAGTCTCAGTAACAAAGTGTTACACGATACAAGTCTGGGGACACTTAAATCTCTTCTGAACGTCACATTTGGCGGAAAGGATTCCAGAACTGCCGCGACAGTATCACATTTGTGACGCACAATATTGTATAGAGTCGGATATTGTTCTCGAAGTGTAGCATTGCCTTGCCACTTATCCTCCCAAAATCTAATTTCTGATCCGTCTTTAATAGCGAAGGATCCATAGCGGAAGAAGTATTTCTTCGTACCATTAGACCAGCCCGAAAGTGCGAGTCCCCAGGCTTCCAATATACTTCAGACACCGCCTTTGAGCCCACATATTTTCTCCTCGGAAGGGTTTGCCATACACCATTTTCCATCAGCAGTTTAAATAGCCATTTGCTGAGGAGGGCAGTATTTTTAACCTTAAGATTATGAATACATAGCCCTCCTTGGTCTTTGGGATGGCAAACGACACTTCATTTAGTCAGTCGATATTTCTTTTTCTCACTATCTCCCTACCAAAAGAATATTGCTCGGAAATAATTCAATCTATATAAGACTCCTTTAGGCAGTTGGAAGAAGGAAATAATATATAATACTATATTACTGAGCACTGAATTTATGAGGACCAATCTTCCATCCAGAAATAGTAATTTACCTTTCCAATTGCTTAACCTTTTTTGTAATCTCTCCTCAACGTGTTTCCATTCAACATTTATGAGTCTCCGACGATATATCGGTATCCCCAAATAACTGATCAGAAACTGGCCTAACCCGCAGCCAAACAAATCAGCGTATAGGTGGGCCTCGTCTTGGGCCTCGCCAAAACATACTAATTCACTTTTATGGAAATTTATTTTAAGACATGAGAGGTGCTTGAATGCTGATAAAATTAATTTCAGATTCTTGCATTCTCTAGGTCATGCTCCATAAAGAGAATCGTATTGTCGGCATATTGCAGGATAGAAAGTCCACCATCAACAAGATGATTAACTACCCAAGATGAGTTACAGTACTTAGTAGGAATTTTAACTTCCAAGCTACCATTTGATTCAATCACAACAACCACTAACCCAACACGCAAGCACGTGTGAACGGCGATCGCTTCCAAAGTCAGAACAATTAGTGCAAAACAGAGCTCAACGCCCTCAATTAACAAAAGTCAACAAAAGGTACACAGCGTTTACAGATCGAGCTGATACATCACATAATGATCCTGCTGACAGCCCAACAGAAGACACTCCAGTGTGACCGTGATCGAAGGAAACAAATCGTGTGTTCCAAACTTCCAGCACCATTGCACTCTCACTGTTTTTATTATTTTTCCTTAGTTTTTACCACTGTTTTTGTTTAACATCCCGAGCTAAACTCACAACTACACAAGCAACGTTGCACAACCCCGTAATTAACAACTAATCAGTCCCAGTCCCAGTCCCAGAGCTATTGCAGATCTGCGGTATATGTGGATCATAGTATCATACTAACCACTAGCCCACCATCTATTATTAGCACTAGCATCATCTCCTTCAGTCTTCTCTTCTGCACGCTAGTTTCAGCTTCCATGCACACGATCGATCTGTAATCTAGTGCCGACACGACCTGATCGACCGACGACGAGCGTCTCCCCTGTTGCCATGTTAACATCGCCGCCGGCGCTTGAGCTGCTGATCGGCGCCGGCTGCGAAGCACCGGAAGGGGTTCTCCGGGGAGCAGATGTCCGGCACGAACACGGCCGCGCTATCGGCGGCAGAGCCGTAACGCGGGTCTCCCTGCCAGTGGAGGCCTGAGGCCGTGGGCGGGGAGGGGAGCTCCGGCATGGTCGACCTCGACCACTGGACCTCCGGCACCTGGCCGAAGAAATCTTGCGCGTTCTGGGCGGCGTTGCCGGAGGAGGAGGACGACAACGATCCGCGGTTCGGCGAGCTGAGCTTCCCGCTGTCGGCCTGCAAATGGATCGCCACTGTTAGGTTACCGGACCAGCTATACTGGAGTGAGCTGTTCCGACATAGATCGATCGTTCAGTCACATGTTTTTTGTGTTCAGAATCATGTCAATTGTGAAATATCTTGTGCGATGTATCACTGCATGTTTTAAGCTGGAAATTTCCGGTGAAAGTACGATTATATGACATGATTAACCAGACCTGACTCTGGATTAACGTTCCAGGATGCAGATCAGATAAATTAGTACTTGATTCGAGATCATGAGACAGGTCACCAGAATTACTGGCCAGCGTTCAGAACTCGTACTGCTACTGCAATCTTGGATTAATTTCCTGAGCAGTTGAGCTCACAAACTGTTATAATATCACGTTGAATTGCTATTTTAGTACTTGAAGTGAGTTTCTCCCCTGATGATAAAGTAACTTGGAGTAACTGCCAAGTGCTATTCGAATTACTAATTCAAATTTGGTTCTGGGTGAGTTAGTACTGACCTTGGACGTGCCATTTTCGGCGAATCCGAAGCCCGAGTTGAACTCGGTGAACCCGAAGAACTCGTCCAGCGGCCAGTCCGGCATGCTCCCGCCAAAAAGTGCTGCGCTCGCCGCCGTGACGGCCACCCGGGGGCTCTTCTTCGGAGGGGCTTTGATTACCTCCGGCTCCGCGGGCCTCATCGCCGGGGTAGCGCTGCCGAACTGCTCATCGATGACAGACCAGTCGGGCAAGTTCCCGGTGATGCCGACGTCCGAGCCGGCCGCCCAGTCGATGTCTCCGTCGCTGTAGAGCGGCGTTGGGCTCCTCTTCCGGTGGCACATCGGCGGTGGCAGGGGAGCCGACGAGGCGTTGTTGGGCGGTTGCGGCTCCGGCTCCGGCTCCGGAACTGATTCTTCTTGTTCGTCGGGCTCGAGGCCGACCTGGACGCCTGTGAGGAGGAACCTCCGGTGCGCGGAGACGAAGGCGTTGGCGGTGTGCACGGCGACGTCGCAGCTCCGGCAGAGCAGCGCGCGGTCCTCCACGCAGAAGAAGTAGGCGTGGCCCTCCTGTCGCAGCAGAAACAGAGGACGTACTCGTCAGATACCGGCCGGGGCAAAAAGATGTGCCAAGATTAGCGGAAGGGCGAGAGAGCAACAAATCGAAGCACCTGGCATATGTCGCAGTTCGGCGCGGACACGGCGGGCGGGTTGGATGCGGCGGAGAGGAGGGGTAGGCGGTGGTGCTTGCCGGCGAGGCGGTTGGCGGCGTGCACGTCGCGGTCGCAGCGCGCGCAGAGGGCGGCCTCGTCGGCGCAGCAGACCACGCGCGCCTCGGCCGCCTCGCACGCGGAGCAGAGGACCTTCATCGATCGATTGATCCGATCACTGCACGATCGTCCGCGTGGAGGGCCGCGGGGAGGTAGGAGAGGAGAGCGGGGCTTGGCAGTGAGGTTGTGGGTGGGAAGCGGTGCGGTTTTGTCCCCGCCGGTTGGTGACTCGACGCGCACGAGTTCGTACAGGGCGAGGCGCCGTGCAGTGCGCGTGGCGGATGGGCGGCCGGGGTGGGTGGGAGGTGAGGTGGGGCGAGGCTGTTGGCAGCGCGGGATATTTTGATGGACGCCGCGGCCGCAGACGCTGACGCCGGGGGCACAGATCACATGGGACAGAGTGTGACATGGATGGCCGGCTGGCTGGCGCGCGGGAAGATCGGGATTGACTCATTCAGTCGGGGGAGTGACCAGGCGCGGCGGGCCCGCGGCCGTGGAGACGTCGCGGCCGGACCCGATTCGCCCACGCGCGCCGTGCCCACCGCTTGACTTCCCCGCTCGACCCTCTTTACATGCAGGCGGCTCTGTAAGAGGAGGCATTTGGTCGTGTGAGGCCTATTACAGGGCCCGGTCTTACAGCTCGTAGCTTCGGTGACGGCCAGGTGAATGGCTGACTGGTCTCTGTCGCTGTGTCGATCGTCCTCGGTTCTTATTCTGGACCCATAGCGAACGTTTGTTAGGAGGAGTGGCATTTTCGAACTATTTCGCTGCCAGTTTTAGTGTGAGGGATGGCAGTTTTTCTAAAGTGACACGACAGTTTTAGTGAGAAAAGATATAATTCTTTTGTCTAAAACCGTATCTTCTCTTGGAACTAAACCTGCCATTAAAAGCAGTGGCGAGTCTAGTAGGTGGGCTTCATAGGGCTCTAGCCTACCCTCCAATTTTTTTACTATACTACTACTCTTCTCTGCTTAGCCTATCAGCGAAACAATAGGCAACAGCCCACACGCAGGACTGCCCAACCAAAGCAACGAAGCACGTAATGCACGCATCCAGGCTTCTGGACACGCCACACGCACTGCTCACGCTCCAGGTCCAGGGCTCCAGACCTAGCGTTGGTCGACGTTGGGGCGGTCGGCGGCGGACCACGTTGCAGAAAATTTCCAGTAAATACTATTACATGTTTTCAATAGTATTCTGCGAAAGTTTGAGCATATTTGGACAAGGAGATTGTAGTCTTTACTGAAATTTTCCATAATACTACCGTAACATTGTCCCAAGGCTATTTAGCTAGGCAGATTCAAAATTTGGTTCAAAATATAATTTTTTTTTCATAAATTCCACAAAAATCCCAATGAACACTACATGTTTCTAGTAGAAATCTGGGGAAATCTTAGCTTATTTGGAAAAGAGAATTGCGAGATGATGTTGTTTTTCTTCAAGCGATTGTTTCGTTTTTTTCGCCGTTAACTTCGAGCCCATCCTTCAATTTCGTCCTGGATTCGCCACTAATTAAAAGGGTTTGTATGACATCCCTCTCCCAGCGAATGTCAGCATGAAAGATTTTCGTTTTTACGCGAAAGCTAACTTGCGACCAATCGCTGAGAGCTTGATGGCAAGCGAACAGTTTGCCTAACGGTTTTAGGTCATAAGGAAGGTTTTTCTGTGGCAGTTTTTAGCTATTCTGATCATAATTTTTCCTTCCTAATAGAAATCGCCATGGGCTTTTTGAGAAAAGTGCCATAATAAGCTATGAAAAATTTTAGGCAAAATATTCGCACATGTCATCTTACCTCACGACCATTCGGTGGATATGGGTTTTTTTCATATAAAGAAGAGACGCCTGCTAAGAGCATCTCAAGTGCCGACTCTCAAACCGCCCGCATCCGTCCGAACTGCGAAGCCGTTCAATGCAGGTCTGTATCGATCCCCGCCACGGTTCAGCCGTCCTTTCTCTCGCAAACCAAAGACAAATGTGAGGACTTTACGGACGTCCAGACTGCTCTCCCAAGCCCGCTTTTGACCACACTGGTCCACCAAAAATCCTCCACTATCTCTCCCGCGCTTTTCATCGAATGCCCACGCCACTTGCCGCGCCGCATTCATGCCACCCCAGAGCATGTAGTGGTCCACATTGATGCATGTGATTTGACCGGCCAGGAAGGCGGTGCAGACAGACGCGACCTCTCGGGCGTCGCCGCTTCAATGCGGACACCGCGTCCCGAGGAATCAACTCATGTCGCTGCGCCACATTGAAGCGAGCTGACCACTCCAACTGTCTTGGCCGCGGCTATTTCAGCCATGCACTAGCGACGCACAGATCCACACTCCCCCTCCCGAGCACCACATAGTCCTCCTCCCCCTCGTCGAGCCCATCCTCCTCTCTGAGCCCAGCGGCGATGCCCAAGTACTGGTTCTCCGCGCCGGCAGGCGACGCCAGTGGAAGTTCTTCATCAGGCGAATCCTGGCGTCGCCGCCCTTGCTTACCGGGGTCATCTCCATCCACGGCGGTGGGCTCCTCTGGAGGACCAGCCACAATAGCAGCCCCGTCTCCTCTCGAAGGCGGTTTTCGTCCGTCGGATGGAGATCGCACTCCATCAGACGGGCCCGACACCACCATTGCCAGCACGTGTGAACGAGGAGCTACCGTCCTCGCTGCAGGTCCATGTTAAGCGGGACCGGCATCATCACTCTGCAGGTAAAGGACGAGCCGGCGTCCCGCCCCGCAACCACGGCCTCCACATTAGCGGCCGCATGAAGCAAGAGCTGGCGTCCCCCCAGCGCCTCCACCGTGTGAAGGACGAGCCGGCGTCATCCCCGCCGCACAGCCACTATGCGCGCATCGGCGGGCCATCGTCGCCACCGCTGCCCAATAAAGGAGGAGCTACTGCCCGCGATTGCCAAGATGTGTGGCCATATCCTCCACTACCTCAGAGGTAGCGGTTATAGTGGCACCTCTGGCTCTCGGGCCGTGGTATCCGAGGTCGAGCGCACGGTGCGGCAGCGGGCGAGGTATGACCAACACAGTGCTGGTCACCGTTCTGCGTTAGGCAAGACGGACCTAGCATCAGAATGGGTCCGCAAATGACCCGGACCTCGCCGCGGCATGGGCGCTCGACCGCTCTGTCATCACTACGGAGATGACCGCTAGGCCGCGCCGCCGATGCCGCCTTGGCGGCGAGCTCACTAAGATTGGTGTCGTGGTTTTGTCATGGCAGATGTCCGCATCGAAGAACTTAACTATGAGGCCATTGCTGCTAGGTGAAAGCTTGAACGGGGTTGATTGAAAACGAGAGACTCGAGTTACCCAGGTTCGGCCCCTTATGGAGGTAAAAACCTACTCCTATTTGATTTTTAAAGATGATGATGATCTTGATTACAAGGGTGCTCTTTCGCTACCTAACTTTCGAAAGATTCTAATCCTTCTTTAAGTCCCATGAACCACCACCCCTTTTTTTATAATAGTCCGGGTCCATAGTTTACAGTAGATTCTGAGTCGTACCCAAACATGAATTCTACTCTAAGTCTTGTTGACCTTCCTTGTCTCCCAAGTTGGTAAACTTCTTGGATCTTGAACTTGTTTTTAAGCCGGCCCGGACGGATCCTTCCAAGCCGGGTCTTCCTTCCAGGCCCATAGTTCAATCCACTTATGTGTTAATCAGCATGAACGCTCTTGGGAACCGGCGGATAATACCCAGGCCGGGTTTGAACTTCCATGACAGGACCGGGTTCCCTAACGCTGGGTCTCAGCCGCGGGGATATCCCCAACAATCGGCGAGGAGTGGTTGCTTAGCTATTGCTTCGCTAACAGCGGCACGGGCAAGGCCACCACCAGCGCCTTCTGCGGTGGTCAAGGCGGCCCTTCGCACCGCGCAACAGGAGGCAGAGCGGCTCCTCGGTGAGCACCAAACGGCCGTCGGACAAGGCTGCCATGGCCCTTCGGCATCCTTGCGCCACTGGACGGAGGACGAAGACGATGGCATGGACGTCGATAATGATGCGGCAGGACAGAGCGGCCACGCTTACGAGAAGATCGACCGACATAGGGTTTAGTTTTTTTTATAGCTTTTAGTAAAACAATCGAATACCGTTCATTTATGTAAAAATTATATCCGAACTTGAATGAAATCCGTCCAGTTTGAACGAATTTCGTTCGGTTTGTTCGCATTGTTGGGCGGATGTATGCGGGGACCGTTCGATGACGGCGTCACGCATCCATGTCCGCGGACGAATGCGGAAGAAAATTTACGGATAACCCTTGGAGATGCCCTAACTGCTACCAATTGACTGTTGCAAAAATAGAAACGCTACGCTGTTCCACACAAATCCACGGGACAAACCGGGAACTGCGTAGTACTACTAGCATCGTATAATCCTAGATCTTGGGAATCAAACGGAAGGTGCCTATCTTGGTTGCATCGATGCATTGCGGCTAGCGGGGGACCGGGTGACCACCCAGCCGGCCACGGCTATCCAGATAACCCGGCTGGTCCTACACGGTGCGGCATGGGCATGGCCAGCCACTACATGCCCAACTAGCTAGTTTCGGGCCAACTAGCATCCAATAATGCGGCGCCTTCCCTTTCGTGGCCCCCATTCCACTTATGGTCTAGTTTTGGGAATTTGCCGGTGCTCATGCAATGCATTTATATGTGCATGCATGTGTGGCATCTTTTCCTTGTGGGCAGATGATATGTATGTGGATATATAGATATGTTCTTTCTTTTTTTTGCGGGTAAGAAAAGAAAGAAAGAACATATCTATATATCCACATACATAGATATGTTCTTTCCACATGAGATATTTAGACAGTTATTTCACCTTTGTGTGAAAAGATTTATTTCAATTTTTCCCTCCTCAAAGAAAGGAGTAAAAAGTGTTAACTATATTTGGTGTACATAGTGTGCCTGTTTTATGGTTAATAACTTTACGAAAAAGGGTTTTCCCCCGCTTTATATTATAAAGCATACCACCAAGCATCCAACACATGAGTTTCAAGCACAATAAGTCATAGAATCATGCTGGGGCACAGCAAGACAAGCCCCAAATTAGACTACTAGGAGACGCTAATCTGGCTCAGGAGGGGGCGGAGGAGGCGGCGGGGGAGGAGCAAAAGACGCAGCCGAGGCAGAAGACCCGCCATGATGTTGTCAATGACGCCTCGATCGCTCCGCTTACTAAGCGGTCTCCAGAGCTGCAAGAAGCCACACATTTTATAGATCACATCAGTCACACGGGACGGAATCACTCGTTCGATGACTAATTTATTGCGGGTACACCAAAGGGACCAGGCAAGGGTACCTAGCGCGACCCAAATAGGGGTGCGCCTAGTCCCGGGGAGCCGGAGGACCTCCCCAAACAAATCCGGGAGGTCGTCATGGCACCATGTGCCCCCAACTACCTCCCGGAAGCAGCTCCATAAGAACTGCGCTGCCGGGCACCGGAAGAAGATGTGGTTGCAATCTTCCAGTACCAGACAAATGGGGCATAGAACATCCCCAGGTCCATTACGCTTACGGACCTCAGTGCTTGAAGGGAGGCGTCCTCTAACCCATTGCCATAAAAATATGCGGATCTTTAGGGGGAGTTTGATCTCCCAGAGCACCGTGAGCTCCACTGGACCAGGAGTAGGCACAATCACCTGGTGCAGGGATCTAGTCGAAAATCTGTCGCTTGGCTCGAGGTGCCAGGAGAGCGAATCCGGCTCGAGAGAAGGAGGATGAAGGGCAATGCATTCAAGTAATTCATCCCATTGCGAGAGTTCGATCGCCCCGAAGGTGCGGAGGAAGGCAATCGCGCCTAGGTTCTCTAGTGCCGCGGCCACAGAGATCTGTGGGCGAACACAAATAGAGAATAGAGCGTAAAAACGCTCTGCAAAGGGGCGGGGTCCCGCCCATCTATCCAGCCAAAAAAGGGTGGCAGTCCCAGAGCCTATCTGGATGGAGGTCCCAATGCGTAGAACCGGTAACAAAGACATCACCGATTGCCAGAATTGGGAGCCTCAAGACCTAGAGGCAAACACTAATGGTTGCCCGCGAAGGTACTTCCCGCGTATAATCTGAAGCCACGGGCCGCTCTCCTCAGTCTGGATCCGCCAAAGCCATTTGGACAGGAGGGCAATGTTCATACGCTTGAAGGAGATGACCCCCAAGCCTCCCTGGTCCTTAGGTTTGCAGATCTCAGACCGTTTGACCATATGGTACTTCTGCTTATTTTTCTCTCCCGCCCAAAAAAAGCGGGAGAGTAGTTTGGTAACTTCCTGATGAAGGGATTCATGTAGGCTATAGAATCCCATGATATACATCAGTAGGCTAATAAGGGAGGAGTTCATTAGAATCACTCGAACGGCTTTAGAAAGCCATCTCCCTTGCCAAGGCTCCATTCTAGGTTGGAGCTTGGCGACTATTGGATGGAAATCCTTTTCCAGGAGTCGTGCATCACTAAGGGGCATGCCAAGATAAGTCATCGGGAAGGAACCCAAGCGGCAGTTCAAACGATTGGCAATCCGCTGGGCCTCCCATTGGGAATATCCCATGACCATTACCTCGCTCTTGGCAAAGTTTATTTTGAGGCCAGACATTTCCTGGAAGCAGAGGAGGAGGAATTTGAGGTTCTGAATATCCTCATCAGATCCCTCCACCATCATAATGGTGTCGTCTGCATATTGGAGATGGGTCAAACCCCCAGTTGTCACCAAATGAGGGCAAACCCCTCTAATGTGACCCGCACGCTTGGCCAAGTCCAGAATCGAGGCTAGCGCATCAACCACAAGGTTGAATAAGAATGGGGAGATCGGGTCTCCCTGCCGGACTCCTTGGCCAGTCATGAAGTAAGGGCCAACCTCCCCATTGATGTTAACAGCCGTCCGACCACTCGTAACTAATTGCATCACCCGGGCTACCCAGTGGGGTTCAAAGCCACGTTTCAGCAACACTTCCCGAAGGAAGGACCAGTGAATAGTATCATAGGCTTTATGGAAATCGATCTTGAAAAAGACCGCACGGAGGTGTTTGCTCTTAACCTCATGGATAATCTCATGGAGGGCAAGGATCCCATCTAAGGTATATCTCCCTTTTGTGAAGGCCGACTGGTTCGGATGATGAATCCGGGGAGCAATAAGGGCCGCCCTAGTGGTGTACCCTTTAGCGAGGATCCGAAATATCACATTGAGAACTGTGATGGGACGGAATTGTCGAATGTCCGCCGCTCCCGGTACATTGGGAATCAAGGAGATAATCCCATAGTTAAGTCGGGACATGTCTAGGGTACCCCTAGAGAACTCGCTAAACAAATCGAGGATGATATCCTTGACCATCGGCCAGAAGGCTTGGAAAAAGCGAACCGGCAAGCCATCGGGGCCAGGGGCCGACATCGGGTTCATAGCCTTGACAAAGGTCTCCACTTCCGCAGGATCGAAGGGGGCTAGCAGGGTTGCATTTTCCGCGGGGGAAACCTTTTGGTCGTGTGACCAGATATGGTCGGCCAGGGCGACACCATTCCGCTGCCGTCCCTGAAATAGAGACTTGTAAAAGTCGTCAACTAGCAGGCAGATAGCCTGAGGGTCTTGAAACAACTGTCCACCCTCCCAAAGGAGAGGGATGGAACAACGTCGCCTACGGC